TGGAACTTTATCAATTTTGAAGCCGCGCATCACAGACTACCTTCAGGTCTGCTCCTCATTCCTACCCGATTCGGCTACATGCTATCCGGACAAAAATGTCTCGGAAGCCCGATCGCTTCTACAGATTCATCTACCTTGGTGCACTCATTCCAAGTGGAGGACGATTTACAACCTTGGGAGCAATACTGGGATCTCGAGTCTCAAATCCCAACAAAGGAATTCACAGGCCCGGAGAAAGAGGAAAAGGCGAAAGTCAATAGACAGGTGCTTCAAGAATTCAACGACACCATCCAGCGGAGAAGTGATGGCTACTATGTTCGAATTCCGTTCAAAAAAGATCACGACGAATTGCCTGACAATAGAGCGTTAGCATGGAAACGGCTCAGAAGCATCCTACAGACCTACACTGACCAGCCATCAATACTGCAACAGTACGACCAGGTTTTCAAGGATCAGCTTCAAAAGGGCATTCTCGAAGAAGTGAACGAAAGCAACGACTTGTTCTCGGTTAAGAAGCATTATCTGTCACATCTACCGGTATTTACCCCGCATAAGGAGACAACTAAATTTCGTGTGGTATTTGATGCTTCTGCACACTACAAGAATTGCCCATCACTCAACGAAGTGACACATCAGGGGCCAACCATGCTTCCTAAGCTCTACAGTATTCTATTTCGCTTCCGTGTTGGCAAATACGTCTTAATCTCTGATGTAGAGAAAGCATTTCTTCAGGTGCGTCTACAAGAAAGGGACAGAGATTTCACGAGATGCTTATGGGTCAAAGACATCAACAAACCCTTGACCGAGGAGAACTTGGCTGTGTATAGATTCACTCGAGTTACCTTCGGAATTAACGCTTCCCCCTTTCTTCTAAGCGCAACTATCCTTTTCCATCTCAAACATTCTGTCGAGATGAAGGATCTCGCAGAACAGATAGCAACAAATTTGTACGTCGACAATTTGTTCACGTGCGCGGAAACTAAGGAAGACGCAATCCAGAAGTATGTCGATTTGAAAGACATTTTCTCGGACATACAAATGAACCTGCGGGAGTTCATGGCGAACAGCTCAGAGATAATGGATTCTATAGCAGAACATGACCGCTCTTCAAATAAATCACCCAAAGTCCTAGGCCTTCCTTGGGACTCAACGTCAGATCAGTTCAAACTGAAAATCGTAGTAGAAGAAAACGAGTTCGTCAGCAAACGTGTTGTTGCACAACAACTTGCTTCCATCTACGACCCTCTTGGATGGTACATCCCCCTGCTGGTTCAGGCAAAGCGTTTTCAACAACAGCTATGGAAACGACAGTACGAGTGGGATGAACCCCTCGACCACCAAGACAAAGAAACTTGGTTAACAATAATCAAAAACGTGAACGGGTTCACTCATGAAATCCCTCGAAAGATCACTGATATGGAAGGACCGTATGCGCTCGTCACCTACACAGATGCAAGTGCCATAGCAATGGCAGCTTGCACATACCTCTCTGCAGAGAATGTCTTTCATCTAGTGATGGCACAATCAAAGGTCTCGGACGTTCAAAAAGAGACAACAACTCCAAAATTAGAACTCAATGCGCTCACAATAGGAGCGAGACTGTCGCAGAACGTGCTCCGTAGTCTAATACCTGTTATGCACGTGTATCACATCCTGATCCTATCAGATTCAGAGATAGCGCTGAAGTGGATTTCGTCACCTATCCATCGCAACCATGGTGTCTTTGTGAAGAACCGGGTGAAGAAATTCGAAAAATTGTAGACGAGATTACTACTTTGGGAGTCCCTGTGCAATTCGGATACATTGACACCGCAAACAATCCAGCAGTCTGCGGTACAAGAGGAATGTCATCTAAGGAGTTCTCAACCCACAAATGGTGGACAGGGTATAGTCTCAAAGAAATTAATGAAGACCATATCATGCGAAACATCGTCACCATACCAGAGGACGACGGGGAGGAAATGATGGAGTCAGTGGATGTCCATGCAATACAGGCTTCGGATGACTCCGAAATAACTGACATCATCGAACTCCAAAGATTTGGTTCTCTCACAAAAGCAAGAAGGGTACTAGCTTATGCTCTGCGATTCTTGAAAAAGTTATGCTCACGCGTCGATGGAGAACTACAAAGCAAGTTACAAGATCACCTTCCGTGGCTTCGACACGACACAAAAGAAAGCTCTGTCAGCGAGAGATATCCATGATGCAAATCACGCTCTTTTGAGGAATCACCAAATGGCATATGTCAAGACCCCGTACAGAAAGGAGCTGTCAAAAAATCTAAATCTAAAAGAAGACAACACCAAATTATTGAGAACTTACGGACGTCTAAACAAATCGGATTTAGATCCAATGGCAAAAAATCCTATCTTCATTGTTCCTCATACCGAACTTTCTCAGATGATCATCTCGGAAGCCCATGGGAAATATCACCGAAGCACAGCACACACCATGTCGGAGGTTCGACAGAAATACTGGATTCCAAGATTACGAGAGCAGGTCAAAAAGTGCATACATCAATGTGTACCCTGCCAAAAAGCTAACAACTTGCCGTTCAAATACCCGGAAATGACTGATATTCCTGGGTTCCGTGCTACAAAAGCACGACCGTTCCAACATATCGGCTTGGATTACTTCGGCCCATTGACGGTTTCTCGAGAAGACATGGTGAAGCTCTCTGTGTACGGTTGCATATTCACATGCGCAGTAACAAGAATGCTGCATCTTGAATTAGTGACCGATGGAACAACAGAGAAATTCATTAACGCATTCAGAAGGTTTGTTGCCAGACGAGGAAAACCAGATACGGTGACATGTGACAACGCACCGACGTTCCTACTGGGGAACAAAATTTTGAAGGAATCGACCCAAACCAAAGAGGTAGATGAAGAAGTGAAAAGACTGATAAGCAACGAAGGGATAGAATGGCACCACATAACGCCGTACTCGCCATGGAAGGGCGGATTTTACGAACGCCTCATACACTCAGTGAAAAGCTCGATGTACAAAGCAATAGGACGGCGAATCCTCACTATGGAACAACTCGCGACGTTACTTACTGAAGTAGAGGCATGTCTCAACACCCGTCCGTTAACGAGACAGATTATGACGACAACATACTCTCCTTGCGACCAATAGATTTCATTCAAAATGGGATGTGTATAACTATTCCCTTCGATTTTTCGAATGAAGATCAAACCGATCCGGCATATATTCCTCCAAGTGAGGTACATCGCCTCAATACACGACTACAAGTTGTCAACGCTCTGAGGTCATCGTGCGCATTAACGGAGCACTTCTGGAAAGTGTGGAAAAATTCGTACTTAACCGCACTGCGGGAACAGCACCGCCGCAACATGGACAATAAAAGAGGATCTTCGAGTCAACCGTACGAAGGAGAAGTTGTATTGATAATGGACCCGTGCCAATAGAGAACCCTTTGGAAGCTCGGTCGCATAGAAAAATTGATTCGAAGCAGCGACGGTGCCATACGAGAAGTTGAAGTCAGCAGCGGACGTAACAGCCTTCGACGCCCGGTCAATCAATTAGTACCTTTAGAAATCCACAATCCTCGGAATCATATTCACAGCAAAAACCAGGCTCGCGCAGACAATCCACGCGAGCAGGATGATGAAGAGAGAATAGTTCGGAAAGTGCCACGGCACAATCTACGCCCAATAGGCACGCATCAATCGACGATCTCCACCGAAGAAGACACCATCAATTTGCCCAAGACGAGACATCGAACCTATGCGAGCTCGGGTTTCAGCGCGACTTGTCTTCAAGTATTCATGGCAATCGTCATGGCAGCAGTGGTGGTTGGACGACAAACGCCATCATCAAAAATCGATTTACCGAACCAACACTTAATCGAATGTCGACCAGAGGGCGTTTACCTCCATTCTCCTACTTCATCAGCATACGAACTTTGCGTGAGTGACTACTGTGTCGCTGAACATGCTCCACCCATACAAAAAGTGATACACGTTCCTACACGTTACCTTCTCCATGAATTCGAAGTACAATGGAAAGTCAGAGAAAAAGGAAACTTCTCAGTGATAGAAACGACTTGTCCAGCTCAACCTTTCTGCGGATCTATCAAATGCACATTCTGCTTAGAAAACGTCCTCAATCCGGAGTGCTGGCCGTCAGCTGCGATTATAAGCGCAGGAGTATTCATCTACCTTTGGATCGCATTGTGCTACACCGTTTGTTACGTGCCAGTAACAATAGGACGTCCACTCCGCTTACTCTGGAATGGATTTCGCTGTGTCTGCTGTCTGATCGGAAGACTGCTACTCGAATGTATTGGACACATATTCCGCAATACTCAAAGACAAAGAACTCACCACTCAAGGCGGCTACTAGAAGCTTTGGCCGTTTTCGGGCTTATAGCAACTGCGTGGGCTTGCCAAACAGTCAATGTCTTCTCGCATGAATTGAAAAATTGCATCACAAAATCTGGACGGACTGTGTGTTCCATAGAGACGGCATCTGTTCTCAAAGTGAATTCCTTCAAAAGAGAAGCATGTATCCGGCTGCAGAACAATAATGCCACCGCTATGGAAATAAGAATTGACTGGATCGGACTACGTCTACTATGTCAAAAAAGAACAGTGATGTACACACGAAATGTAGTTCAGAAAGTCATAGATAGCAAGCGATGTGCCCGTATGGGATCCTGCGTTGAAAACAAATGCGCAGACATAAATTCTACCAGCATGCTTGAGGAGCTTTCCATTGGCAACAGCTTCCCCGGATCAACCTACTGCATGGAGTCCTGCGGAGGACTGGGATGCGGGTGCCTGACTCCGAGCTCAGGATGTCTGCTTTACCGAATTTACGCTGTTCCTGCAGACGAAGAAACCTATGAAATCTTTGATTGTGTGAAGTGGCAGGAAGAAGTCAAATTGAAAGTACAGTTGCGAAGACAAAAAGAGCACAAATTCAGAAGCTATGTGATTGGTCTGAAACCCAACGTACCAATTCAACTACCATCCATGAAGACAACGCTCAGCGTACTCTCGTGGCAGTACTTCAACCTTCTCGAGGCAAGATTCGTCAGACGAGGGAATACAACAGCTCTTTGGACCTCTTCGAAACTACCGCTTTTGCAATGTTTATCGAAAGAAGAAGCAGACTCACTAAAGTGCTCATTGATCCATACCTGCGAATGCACACCAGCCGAATCCCAAGTAATGTGTCGCTGCGAAAATCAAGACATAGCAGAGGAATTCCATCAGATAGGATACGTTTTACCGGTAACATACCCCTTCGTGAAGATGACAAACCATCCGCACTACAATGTGATAGCACGCATCGAGCACGGCGTCACAGCAGAACTCGTTCTAAACGTAAATGAGACTGTGGATAACATTGTCACCGACACCACGGATGAAATCTGCTATATCGCAAACACGCACATATACGGATGCTACAGCTGCAAAGAAGGGGCAAGAGTCTCGGTAACTTGTCTCTCATCAGAAAGCACTCTTGCGGAAGTGGATTGTGGAATCAAAACTTTCACCATTCCATGTTCTCCTACGAGGGACGAATCCACACTTCGTTTCCTCATGACGAATGCTCAAGTACAACTAAACTGTTCTGTCACTTGCGGGAAAATGCCAACGTACTTTGAAATCAATGGCATACTCAAATATGTGCACTCCCTTCACGATGGAATAGAACAAGCAAGTATATCAACGCACAACATCACTTCGGATTTCGACTGGCCCGCAGGTGTACCTACAATGGTACAAGACGGTGGCACTAACATTCGCACTTGTTGCTTTAGCGCTTCTGATTAGTTACCTATACTTGGCAGCTGTTTGTAAGAAGATTTTGTACACCTTGTTCAGATTGTGCCTCCACACAGTGCAACGTATCATTCGTCTTCCGGTGTATGTCGCATGGCTAGCAGTAAAGTGCTTGTGGAAAGATTACTCTACAGCACAAAAACTGCCAACGAAAATGCTCTAAATGGCTTCCAGGAACAGATTCGCATGCACAATGTAAATATGGTTCAATTTATACTTATCTGTCAACTTCAGTACAATGAACAAGAACGACGAAGGCCTCGAAGAGATAGTCAAGAAGCGCAAGGCTGAAGAAGGAAGACTAATCGAGCAGCTCCGATGGAAACGAGCCTGCGTTCGGTTGATGCCCGCCCTACCAACAGAAAAAGAGGTACAAGGAAAGATAAAAAAGTTTTTGGAACTAATCCTCACCATTACACGGACGAATAATCTAGCTGACCAAAGCGCCGAAATATTCGGAGAGCGGCTCACGCTTTTTGCCAAGAGGGAAGGAACCTTGTACAAATGCAAGGTTCAAAACATGCAAATGAAAGTCCAATTCGTCAAAGAGAGAATTCTCAGTGCCATGCAAGGGATGGCGATGTGCAACGAAACCTATGGACTACTCGTTCTAGCGAACGTCGCCACTGAAAAGTCAAAAGAAAGGTTCTACCGCCAGAGCCATGACGGCATTCCAATTGAGCCGGCGTTTGTAAACGAATTCGTCAAGAAGGAAATCGACTTCTTAGATGAGCTTCAGCAACGAATCGACACTGAGTTGCATGAATCCTCGCAGCAAATAGCCAACGAGGATCATGAAAGCGTCTATGAATCCATCTTGCAAACCATGGTACAGTTCCAAAACACCATGGACCACCTAGACAAGAGTCTGAATTCCCAACTGCAACGGCAAAGAGAGACGCTGGAACAACTGGGCTATTCTATTGAAGCCATACAAAGAGAGTTTGAGTATTTCAGATCAGTGACGAAGGGCATTGACGATGAGGTCGATAAAGGAGAGACGAACGACGAGACGCAAAGCAAACAATCTGAAGGAGAAGTTCTGCAAGATCTATGGGAAGTCGACAATGACGAATCCAACACTCTCCCCGTACAAGACGAAAGCGAAAAGCACGAAGAACCAAAAAAAGGACAATGCGAAGACAACCCAAAACAGGACGATGATGCAGAAGGCCCAAAGGCGGAAATGACGCGAAAAACAGAACAATTTCGGAGAATAATTGAGAGGATGAACAAGATACGGAGGACGATAAGCGATCGGCGACTCCCCCGGCGCGAATATTCACGGCGAGGACCCAAATGAGGCATGGGGAGGCATTTCTTCGATGTTCATTTTGCAACGTGAAAGGACTTCACTACAGCGATAGTTGTCCTGAATTCAAAACGGTACAAGAGAGAAAAAAGAGGGTACGTTGCGAATTGTGCCTTGACACAAAACACCGAAAAGAGAGATGCAAGAGAATCCGCCAAATGTGCAAGTACTGCAACTCAAGGAGGCACCACACAGCCTTGTGCACTCTTCCGCAAGAAAGAGGTGAGTTGGAGCTAGAATTCTCAGAGCTGACGAAGATATTACAGTCGATCGATGAGAGCAATGGGCGTCTGAGCAAGCGAGAACGTTCAACAACATGGCATGACGATGAAGACCGACCGTCGACATCTCAGAGGGCGGAGTATCACTAACGTGATCAAAAGGCCTTAGTTATTGTACTATTGTTGTAGTTAGCAATGTGTTGTTTTAAGAGTCTCATTCTCATAGGAAAAAATCATTAATCGATGAGCTATAGTAGGTAGAAAATATTATTGTTGTCACCTCGGGAGCATGCCGCATTCCAGATCTGAAGACTGATAAGCAGGCTTAAATAGGGGGCGCGAACGCCAGAGAGGCAGTCGAGCTTGACGAGCAAGCTGGCAAAAGGAGGTGTAAGCGAGCCAAGGAGGCGCAAGGTTTTTTGTAGGGCTTAATGTTCTCGTTAGTAATATTATATGAATTACTGTCGATTTGTTTAATTACNAAAAATCATTAATCGATGAGCTATAGTAGGTAGAAAATATTATTGTTGTCACCTCGGGAGCATGCCGCATTCCAGATCTGAAGACTGATAAGCAGGCTTAAATAGGGGGCGCGAACGCCAGAGAGGCAGTCGAGCTTGACGAGCAAGCTGGCAAAAGGAGGTGTAAGCGAGCCAAGGAGGCGCAAGGTTTTTTGTAGGGCTTAATGTTCTCGTTAGTAATATTATATGAATTACTGTCGATTTGTTTAATTACCCAAGTTTGAGGTGAATGTGCATGCAATAAAAGGTGTTTTACCGAACCGCGTGGCAAAGGCATAGTACGAGAGTTGACGGTGGAGGTGCCAATCAATTGCCCTAAATATCTAATTAATAATTGTGCGCATGCAAAATGATTAGCAATATAATATTGCCATTCCTATTATTATAGTATAAGACTACCAATAATTACGAGAACGATTGTCTTAACTACTTCAAGCAAACATAAGGCTTGTAGAATCTTTTTCTTTTGGGACTGAATGATTTGTCCTGCGTTTTTATCGAGGAATGTTATTGACTGTTGCATTTCGTATTCGAAATTTTCGCATGTCAGGTCTGAACGAGCCAACGGTGCGATTTGTGAAGAAGTGGAGTAAAGTTCTGTATTTAGGCGACTTTTGATAAGATAGATATCAGTGGAAATTCGAGAGAGGTCTGAATGGAAAATTGGTAGAACATTAAAGATGAATTCTCGGCTTACAAAGCCGTTATGTAAGTTTAAATGAATACTTGATACTGGGGTGTATCCAGAAGATGATTTGTAATGATTGTTGCCATCGTTATGAATACCACTGCACTCTGCGCTCAGATACCATAAGCACATCTCTAGCCACTAGGGCAAACACATCCTCTCTATTGAGGAGCATACGCGCCGTATTAATTGGATTTCGAAGTGACATACTGTTCTTTTTATGGTTTGAATTTTGAAATTCGTGAGGGAACGTAGCAGTCTAGCAAAAAGTTGAAATCTTGTTGTATAATGTCCTCCATTTTCGTTTTTAGAAACTGCATCTTAGTACTGAGTTTGTCATGGCGGTTATCTTGGCGCTGCTCGTGACCCAAAGATTGGTCATTATTCATGACGGTGAAATCCGGCTCTAAATTGGTGGCGATTTGTTTGGCCATATATAATGAAAAGTTGGGTTAAATTCTGTTGAATGAGGAATCTTTGATGTCTGTTTCGGACCGCTTGGATTTCTTCAAGAAAGTAGCTAAAGCTCTGTGATTGCCTAGGTACGGTGGCTTGTACGGAAGCTTGTCGCTTCTTAGGCCCTAGCCCTCTCATCTGATGAAATTCCTTCGGTATTGACTTATTTTGAAGAGTTTTGATCGCATAGTTGTATGGCATTTTGAGATTTCGACTGATAGGATTATAAGTCTCATCTTTATGCTGTGGGAGGTTTTCATTTTCATCATCCACGGCTCTACTTGTAAGGGTATCAGTCGATAAGGGTCTTTCCCTTACTTTATCCACTTGCGTGAGTGTATTCACGAATTGTATTAACTGTGAATTATAGAAGATTTGCTGATTAATGGCCTCTGATACTTCTGGGTGGTCCTCGAAAATGATACGTGGATCGTAATCGTGAAGTTCTGGTAGAACTATAAACACGCCATTGTCCATTGGCACAGCGTTATTGTTTGAACACCATGAGCTCTTTTGAGACTGTGAGTACGACATATTCATACCAGTTGGGCTACGCACGCTAATGCGCGCATCACATGCCCACTACCGCTTACCTGTGACTTTTTAGAGGACCAATATAACAGTATCGGTTCATTTCCCATTTGATAAGTGTTTCCTCACCATGCTCACTTGACATTCGCACTCTTCGTTGTGCCCACGTGAGTAAGGACGCACAAACGGGCATACAAACAGACATACAAAATTATCGCTCTATATATAGAGACAGTCGGACGCCCGGCCTACGCCGGGCCCACCTCCTTCCTATAATAAGTTGTGATAAACGACAAACAGCACACTCCTTTGCTGAAAACAGTGAATGATGCTTTTCGGAACATGAAGCTCGATAGAGGAACAATAGGGCATGCAAACGATATTCAAAATGTGCCTATGCCTATGCCTTTGATTAGAATCTGTCTGTCTCCATCGTTTGATGTTAAAAATAATGACCATTCGAAGACTTAAGTGGTAGGCACTCAATGCCTTGAATGGTACTCACAAAAGTTGTCGAGTCATAATAATACCATTATCAAATGTCTTTATGAATGCAGTTCCTTTCCTCTATACATCATTAAATGCGAATCCGAGATTGTTAGCGGTCGGATAAGTTTTGCCATGAATGATATCAAAGCAGAAGAAGATCCTTCACTGAATCGCAAACTTCGCTGGGTAGCGGTCTTAAGCAAGAAAAGAACCAAATTCCATAATCGGTCCCTATCAGTGCACTTACCCGTCTTGTCGAATGAAACATATCAAAGAATCAAAGCTAAATCGTAAACAACAGGGGCGCTGAGATTCAAGTAGTGATTGGATCTTGTTCTCTATGACCTCCTCTACCGTCGGTGTTCCCATCCTGCCCCTCTCTTCCTGTTGATTTTGCTCTCCAAGTTCGCGCGATCGGGAGTTATGGATTTTCGCTAACACATTTCGCACAAACCCTCTGTCCTCTGTAGCCCGACCCTGCCACCCACCACTAATGTTTCCACCCTGCCTTGGGTACTCTTACCGAATTCGAATTTTCTGGGTCCACTGAGACAGGATTCATTATTTTCCGCTGAAACATTTTGTTCGCATGAACCCCGCCCCCTGTGAACGAGGTCCGGTCCTGCCACACACCATATGTGTTCCCATCCTGCCTTGAGTACTCCTATCAAATTTGGACCTCCTGGGTTCACAGGGACAGGATTTATGAATTCCCGTACAAACAGACAGACAGACGGACAGACGGACAGAGAGACAGACGCGAGCGCTTTATATAAAGTAAGGATAGGTCAACCCTGATTAGATGTGGTGAGCACTACGTGGGTTGGGGTTACCATGCAACTCCTAGTGTGGCCAACACATATCGGCACAAGGGTGGATTTGAAGGTGGTTATGTCCATATTACTGTTCCGTGGCTAATGAGGCATTACGTTTTCGCAATGTTGTAATGGGTCATGTCCCCAAATTCACCAATAAGGTAGCTAGCGTAGAATGTTGCGATTTTTCCTTTTTTCAAAATAAGCATTGGTAGTAATAGTGCTTTTATCTGCGAAAAACCATGGATAGAAATAGTGAGTTTGATAATCAGATCCATATACATTGGGTGATATACGAGGAACGGGGTCTAGTGGAGTCATAAACTCTTCATCACTGTTTACGGAAAATTAAATGTGAAGATAAGAAGATGCACAAATTCTCCTGGTTTTATTGAAACAATGAAATGCTTGGATTGAGAGTGGTTCAGTACGTTCGAAATAAATGTCTGCAGATGTTAATAGAACATCCGAAGCATTAGGAGAGCTATCGCACGTTAATGGGTCTGGAGAAGCAACCGGCAATCCAGATTTTCCAGCCGAACATAATTGATGTTTAAGAGAGAAAGAGGTAACTGGTTATGCCAAAAATGCAATGACTGCTACAATGAAAAGGGGGATGCGAAGTGTGAAAAGTTTTGAGGTGTTACATAGGGAAGTTGAATTGACCTCCTGGCGGCGTTGTGCATGAGCACGTTATACACTCCGTTCACTCGATGATGTACGCCTTGTATTTTGTCTAGGGCAGGGGAATGGCGAGAATCTGCGAGGGCGTTGTTGCGTTGCCCTGAATATTGGTATCCCTGAGGTCTCTGCCTACTTTGGTACCTTTGCCTTGGATAATGGTCGTGCTGAGTTCTGGAAGAACTTGCTTACTCATATGGGGCTAGAGCGTTGAACACCTTGTCAACTTTGGCTATAAGAAGATTAATAGTAAAAGAGTTAATTTCTGTATTCGTAGAATTCCACATCCTTTCTGCATTGTAAACGGGTGTATGTCGTTTGGCGCGGCCCTTCGCAGCCACCTTGCCATTGGGGCGCATGTGCTTCAATTGCCACCCGTAGAGCGCAATTTCTACGTCGATGACCTCGTCCAAATCGGCCAGCCTCTCGAACTACAATCAGCTATCGAACTAATTAGGGTTTCTTCGCACATAGGTGCGAAGCGACCCTGATTAGGGAGTGAAGACTTAGAGGTCACCAAACTTTTCAGTCAACCTCATGAATCGAGTATGAAGAGAGGAAATTGTAAAACGTTCCATGAGTTATCACT